CTGCCTAAGACGGCCACCTGTCTTATGCGGCCACTTTTCTCCTTGACAATGGGTGGCCGTCTTACACAGGTTTGACTGTATTATAAAAATTCACAAACCAGCGGAAAAATGCAAGTTTCGTCACTTTGATTATTTTGACGAGAGCCTGATTCCCCAACGCTGCCTCACATTTAAGTTTGTCTCTTTTAAAGAGTATATAAGCATTTGTCTGCCAGTATATGTACCTCAATATGTGTCTGTTAATGAAGGACTGTGAGTGTGAGTGTTTCAAAAGAAAAAGTTAAAGTGTAATTGGCAGAGCATCAAACGAACAATAGGCAACCATCACTCTCGATAGAGCAACACTTTAACTGCAACTTCATAAATACATCCATTGTTACTGACTGGCTAAACATAGGAGACACGTATCTCCCCTATCATTTGAGTATAGTCAGCAGATTGTTCTGTTATGAAAGCGAGAATCGAATATAAGTTAGCCCTACTATGCTTCAAAGGTCAAACTAACCAGTCTCCCACATGCATTCAAGAACTCATTGTACTATACACACCATCACGTGAATTAAGATCCAGTAGCTCTAGACTAATTTCAACACCTCATGTGTCACTGAAGAAATATGGTGAGAGAGCTTTTTTTTTTTCTGGACCAACAGTTTGGAACACTCTCCCTCATGATTTGAGGACCGAAATAAAACTTGATACTTTCAAAAGGGGACTCAAACCATATCTATCTAAGAAATTATTTAATTAATGGACAGTACCTTGCCTTCTGAGGCGTATTTTCAACAGAGCCTGGGAACAAAGAAAATGCCCAGAAGACTGGCAGAAAGCCATAGTGGTACCTTTATGGGGGGAAAAAAAGGACAACAAACGCAACTGCACAACGTATAGAGGCATCTCATTGTTAAGCCACTAAGGAAAAATGCACGCAAAGATACTAGACCAGCGCATAAGACCTATTGTAGAGAGAAATCTGAGCAAAGCTCAGTTTGGAATCCGAAAGGGAAGAGGATGCACGGATGCCGTATTCGCATTACGACAGATATGCGAGAAAACAATAGAACACAACAAAGAATTCAACATCGTCTTTATAGACCAGGAGAAGGCTTTTGACAGAGTAAACCATGCAAAACTCTGGAAGACACTCGAAAAGTATGGCGTC